TAAACAAATGAGCTAATGTATGTAAAATGCTTAGAACATTGCTTGGCATATAGCAAGTGAGAAATAAGTGTTAGCTGCAATTGTTGTTATTATTAACACTTCTTGCTACAAAGCACAGGACAGACCCCCCACAACAAGATTATCCAGCCCAAACTGTCGAGAGTATAGAGACGGAGAAACCCTGACTTAAAAATTAAAGGATCTGGCTGGTTAAATATACGAAACATCTGCACTTCAAAAAACCCTTAAAAACTGCAGAAAATATCTGAGCCTTAGTGACAAAGAGTTAATAGTCCAGCCTGCATAAATCAAGACCTATTGGACAAAAGTGAGTGCCTAACAGCAAAATGGATAGAACCCACTGGTACACACAAATGGCCAAAAAGCATTAAAAAATTTCCCCCAAAGAAAAACAGAGCTCAACCTCCTAAGTCATCAAAACAACTTGATTCAAAAGGACACCTCTACTGTTATGTGTAAACCGGGCACAGATTCCGTAATATGCAGGTTTGGTGACGACGACGTCCACATACTGCCAATGGAAGTTTAAGTTTATCTGAAAGCAAACAAAAGACCTTCTGCGAAGGAATTTAGCTGTACTTAAAATACATATCTTTTTACCCTGGACAGTGTGGCTGGCTCGGTTGGTTGGAGGGTAACCCTGTAACCAGGAGGTGATGGGTTCAGTTCCCTGTCAGGGCACACACTCAGGTTGCAGGTCTGATCCCTGGTCGGGGCGCACACAGGAAGCAACCAATACATGTCTCTCATCGATGTTTCTCTCGCTCACCATTCCTCTCTCTAAATCAATTAAAAAATAAATATCTTTTAAACTTTAAGTTTTTATTTTGAAAACTACATATCTTTTAACACACCACACGATTTTGGAAATCTACTGAAAGATATAGTTAAAGACGTTCAACAATTTAGCTACAGGAATTTCAGCTCAGCATTGTTTATTTTGAACAAAACTAGAAATCTCTAAAATGTCCAATATGGAGAAAATGATTAAACAAAATCATGGTGTATCTTTATACAACTCTTAAAATCATGTTATAGCTAAAGTGACATGGAAGGATGTTTTTGATATACTATTTATGGGAAAATATACACATTAAATATAACATATAATTCATTTCTGTGAGAAAAATAATACATATCTGAAGATGTGTGCATGTGTGTTAAAGAAGTCTATATATGTATTAGGGTGACACCGGCTAGTAAGACTCTACAGGTTCCAGGTGTTAACAAGGGGTCATGTAAGCATTCTGAGGGCAGGGATCTGGTTTGCTTTCTACTGTGGTTCTAATACACAACAGTGTCTGACATAAGGGAAAAATAAAATAAGAACTGCTATTATTTTTGCTTAGCTACATTTTCTCACTGTTCTGCAATAAATAAATTATTTGCATAACACTTTTTTTTTTTAATTTTAATTTTACTTTAAATACATCTTTATTGATTTCAGAGAGAGGAAAGGAGAGGGAGAGAGACAGACAGAAATATCAATGATGAGAGAGTCATTGGGGATCGAGCCCACAGGCCAGGCATGTGCCCTGACCGGGAATCGAACCTCGATCTCCTGGATCCTAGGTCGATGCTCAACCGCTGAGCCACGCCTGGCGGGACCATAACACATTTTTTAAATGCTGCTTTTGGAAATAACAATTTAACAGCTAAACTGAATGTTTTACAAATAATAGAAACAGAAATGCCATCTGCTTCGCAGGTCCATAGATTTAAATAATAATTTATGTAAATATGCTTTGTAAACTCTAAAGCACTGTATGAATGTTAGAAATGAGTTATTTTGTTAAGATCATACATTTCCCAGTTAAACCAGCTTCAGATATGCTTTGGCAGGCAGCCTTCCTCTCAGCAGCTTCTCTTCCGGTAGTTTGTGTTACTTCAGAAGGAAAAGTTGCAATAACAGAGAATTGGTGAGAACTGGCGAGTCCATAAAATGGACGAGTATGTCACAATTAAAATTTACCCCGTAGAAATGTATTTATTGACATATACTCTTAACCTCTATTAAAAAATTCATATATGTAGCAAGTAAAATAATTCTCAATACAGCTTATTATAGCATTTATTAGGTCAAATACTCAAATAATTATGATTATTCTTATGTTTTTTGATTTCTTAATTCATTCTACTTGAACTTATTCAGCTTTTCACTTTTAGTCATTTGTTTCTCAAGACTCGATCAGTAAAAGCCATCGACAATATTTTACGTTTTAGTATCTAAATTAAAAACATTTTATAGATTGCTTTCATCCTTAGAAGGCACACCTGCTTTAAAGTCACACTACAATTTCAAATTAGCATGTGTATATTTTATAAAACATGCATGTAATTCCTTTCTACATTTTAATGTTAGTGGTTTCACAGGTATATATATATGCACTAGCCACTCCTCCATAAATCAGAAACTGAATCTCATTTTCTCTCCTTAAAACAAATGTAAGAATAGTTTTCCATAGCTTTATTTTTCCTACTTTCACAGAGGGATCATACAAGTAGGGTACAAAGAAGAATCACTCAGAACTAAATCAGCAACAGCTAAAAGAAAGTATTTAAAAATATGAACTGGATTTGAATTCTTTTATACACGGAGAGTAGAACATTTTTTCTCCCACAGAACTCTATTAGAAGCTACCAGCCACGTGTATGCATCCTTTACGCTGAACACCAGCTCCCTAAAAAAACCCAGTAAGTTCTTCCGTTTCGCCAAAAACCATTTCTTTATCTGCCATTTAAAAACACAGTTAAGCCGTAGTTGTCTAGTATTATTCTAATTAAAGGCACTAATGAAAATGGCCTCACATTCCTTTAATCTTATTTTATGAGAACACCTCCCAACACTAGAGCTAAAATATTTCCATGTTATTTACAGAATATTGTAATCTGGGAGGCTGATCAATAACATAACAATGGAACTGTACAATGATGGGAATCATTAAGATTTTTTAAATACTGTGAAGCTTCCAAAAGAAATTAGAGCCCAAGAAAAGTTTAAGGAAGCAATATGATAAATACAAGATGAAGATTATTCATGTGCCCCAAAAGCACCAATTAAGGTGACAACATGCCGGACACTGAGAGGCCTGTGGGTGATGAGTGATGTGTGGAGCAGGGATGTGAAAGTGTTCCAAAGAAGAGCAGGGAGCGTGTGAGACAGAGCGGGACTGGAAACCAACCTGCGCAGGAGACACTAACAGAAGAGGCAGATGCTGCGATCTGTCGGCACCAGAAAGACTCCCACCATGTAGTCTGTGGCTTTCCTCAGGAACATTTAAAATCAACAGGCCCCACTCCCTCCCTACAGCAAATAAAATTCCTACAAACTACAAAATAAAGTGGCCATCTAAACTCACAGTTTCTAAAACCTTGGTCTATATTCTGTAAATTATTGACTGAATGTAAATCATTTCATTTCTTTCCTCCAGGTCCTTTCTTCTAACAACTGACAGGTTTTTGTTTTTTTTTTCCATGATAAATTCTTGAACCACCTTTTTTAGAGAGATGGGTGGGTAGGGGGTGTCACAGCTTCAAATCAAGGTGGATCTGTATTATCTTTCATAAAATCTTGGCATTTCTGCTGAACCATTTGATGTTTATTAGTTTGTTGTTGTTATTATTTTGTTTTTCCCGAACCCCCACACTTTTATTTTAAACGTTTCATTTCAATCTGTAAAATTTAAACAGGAGCCAGCCCTTAGTATCTTAAGGGTAAACATAGCTCTTCAATGTAAAAAACAAGCTTGAAAACTAGAATAAGTTCCTGGCTGAATCTTATGAGCTAGATTTACAACTAAATAAAGGTAAAAATTTTTTAACTTTTTGAAAAATAGTCCCAAAATAGCCATATAAATCCATTTTGCTTATATTGCTTTTCATTCAAATTTTCATTAAAGCCATGTTCATTGTGAAACCATAATTATTCTCTTAGCCAAGAAATATGGGAGGGTAGCAAAAGGAAAGAGCGACCTGGAAGAGATGGCACCAGACTCAGGAGTGGACAGTTCTGTAGGTAAACTGGGAGGACTGCTGAACCTCATTATAAGACTATTCTGAATTTAAAAATAATAACAAAAACAAACCTTACTTGAAATAGATTCATACTTCTCCAAGTAACTGAAAATATATTATAAAAACACAATCATTTTAGGCATTATAAAAGTAAAATTCCCATATTTTGTGGACTACCAACTTATGTATCCACTCAGCCAAGCTGTTTTCCTGCTGCTAACTTAAATTCCTGTTTTAAAATGGTGCCAACTCCTCTTGGGTGTTCTGAGGATGAAAGCAACTTTCCCTAAGTTTTAGCCAAGCTTTTTCACTATAGTATCTTATGAAAAAGCCACAAGGTTGGCGCACACCACAGTGACCAGATGGGGAAAAATCATTTTAGAGAATAATTTTGATGTTTAAAATAATTGGGGGTGGGGGAAGATGCATTAAAATAATATGCTAATTAAATAATGTGCTAACTGAAAATAACATGCTAAAAAAATGCTAAAATAATTAGCTAATTAATAAGATGTTAATTTTGACATAGCCTAATGCCATACACCAAGTTTACTATATACTGAATACTAATTTTTTTAAAGTTGGATATGCATTCTGTTTGGTATAGTAGTGATTTAAAATGCAAACAAATGAAACAAAAGGAAGAATAGCCCACAATGATGAGCTCAGGGAATGGACAAGAATGGAAAGTTTGGCAGCTTTAAGACACTTTCTAACACAAGGCATCCTGGTCACTTGAAGCAGATACACTATTGCTCTCTCACCAGAACATAACTGAAAATCATTCACCTCAAAAGAAAAGACATGCTGGTTATGTAACCCTTGGACTCTATAGGATACAGTGTTACAAGTTCACAGTTCCTAGTCATGTCCATGTGACTTCGGAAGATTTTTTAAATGTGGTAATACCACAAGCTGGGAAAGAGTAACAGTATCATGATCTACCTGAAAGGCGACAAACTCACCTGATTGATGGAATTGGCAGCACAGGATGCCAGGCCTGTTCCAACAGAAGTGAGCAGAAAACAGGACCAGTCGAAAGGCCCAGGAGCCAATGCGAACCCTGCAGAAGTGGTGCTGACAACCAGAGCTACAACAGAGAAACAGAGCAGACGTCTTGTTACCAATGCAGGCCCCACAGTACAGATGCCACACAAGCATCCTCCAGAGAAACCAACTGATTACCTTAATAACACAAACCAAGGCTAATCTTCCATTAAAAAAAAAAGAACACTTTCCGATTATAAAAATTTTATGTGTTCATCACAGAAAAATGCTCATTTTTCTTTAATTCCACTATACACAAGAGAAAAAATAAGGTGGATGTTTTAGATTGAATCACTCAGTTACAGATTCAACAAACATTTATTGAATACCTAATTCACAATCTACTGATGCTGGGCATTAGGCACTGTGTAGGATAAAGGAATGAGACAGGTTTTATAGGAATTTATCTGACAGGGAGACGACAGACACACAGTAATAACTATGTAACACAAGGCAGTAAATAATAAGGTCCTAACTCTGTGGGCCTTCACTCTGCCTGAGTAGGGGGCTTGCCCGAAACAGACGATGGTACCAGAGCCCAGATGATGATTAGAGGGTGATTAGAGGGAAAAGACAGTCCTGCAGCCACTACCAGAAACAAAAAGAAGAGTCAAGGTGCCGAAGCAAAACCGTGCAATCCAAGTGTCCATGGTGACTGCTCCTTTTCTTAGGCCCCGGTTCTCTTTTCCTGGGGATTACAGGAGCTGACAGGGCCAGGAGGTGTCTAAGAGTGGTACTGGCACAGGGCTGCAGACTGAGAAAATGTTCACCACTGGTGAACTAACTGGAGAGGTGTCAAAAAGGTGGCACTGAAGCTGGACCTTCGGGAGGGGCTGTAGAAAAAGGAGAGTAATGGGATGGGCAACATTACAGGTGACTGGATAATTCCAAGAACCAGCACAAGGGCAAGAAAGACCAATGTCAAGATTCTAAAGCACCAGTAACATCTATCTAGGTTTTCAAACCAAACAGCTAGGAAGCATGTTTGAGGCTCTCCTTTCTCACCCTTCTCTACATCCCATCTGTGGCAAAGTGCAGCCTGCTCTTCCTCCACAATGCACTTCAAACACACCTCTACTGCCATCCTCTAGTCCACTGGTTCACAACCAGGGGTGCTTCTGCTACCAGGGGACATTTGGCAGTGCCTGGAAACATACTTGGTTGTTTCCAACCATACTGGAGGGGATGGACACTGCTGTCCTCTAGTGGGTGGAGGCCAGGGATGTTTCTGAATACCCTATAAGACAGTCCCCCACTACAAAGACTTTTCTGGCCCAAAATGTCAATGTGCTGACGCTGAGAAACATGGGATCTAGTGCAAGCTATTACCTCGCCTGGACAGCTGCAAGGACCTCCTTCCTAACTGGTCTCCTCTCTCTCCCACCTTGCTCCACTTAAAATGTAAACAGATGGTATCACTCAGCTGCACAGAAGGTCCTTGACACTAACCTGGAAGAAGAGGTACACTCCTTCCACAGCACACGAGTGCATCTCATCCCCCTCTAGCTCACAGACTAGTCTCCATCACAAAGGTCTGTTTTTAAACAGGCCAAGCTCCTTCTTGCCTCCTGGCCCGCAGTCTTTTGTTTCCTCTGCCTCTCTCATGATCGGCTCCTTCTCACCTGTCAGATCTCCTCTTACTTCTTAGAGAGAACTTCTCTGCTCACCATGTCTGCATCACTCCTCCCACAGCACTCACCACGCTGGGGCCCCACATGGAACACGGGCTCCCTGACCATGTTTCACTGCCACACTTTCAGAGTTACCATTGTGCCAGGTACAGAGCAGCATTTACTGGAGGAAGAGGAGGGGAGGTGGTGGCTGTCTGACTACAGAATTCTTGAGGGGTTTGCATGTCGTTTGCTTGGCAGGAGAGTCAGAGACAGTCTAACGCAAGACAGTGACTTGTCACTGCGGTGCAGCCTGGCGGCGACGGGCACAGGACTCACACGGCGGGCACAGTGATGCAGAGCACGACCTGAGAGGCCACACGGTCCATCCACTGTGCACAGATGTAGTGAAAGTGGGACCCGAATAGATATGAAGGGCACTTTGAGAGAACACTGTCAGGACTTCCGAGCTGCGAGAGGGAGGAGGGTGAACAAGCGGACAGCTAAAAGGAGTAAAGGCACAGGGCTGCCCCTGGGTGACACGCAGAAGAGTGATGACAGCACAGAAGCCAGGGAGCCGGGGAAGCTGATCTAGCCGTCTCAGGAAACAGCGCTGCTTCCGAGGAACCATGGCCGAGCCCGAGGGGATGGAGGAGCTCGACGACGGAGAGCAGATAAGCAAAAGGGGTGTATGAAAAAATCAGGATTTCACCGCTGGGGTAAAGGAAATGACGACAGGCACAAAGAATGTTTGGAGGCAGAATCGGGAGGCTGGGGTGTCATGAATGCAAACGAATGAGAGGGGCTGGGGGAGCAGGCCCGGAGGCACCGCCTCGCACCAACAGGTACATGCCAGAGACACTGATACTCCTTCGTGTGGCCACAAGCTGGCTGGAGTGCCCCTCCGTCTAGCTTTATCAGCCACAGACAGACTCTTTACAGTTCTACCATGTGGACATACCCTGTCCCTAGCACCAAGGCCAGCCACAGACTTCTTGGTATTTCTATTTATTTGACTGGGATCAATGATAATTTGCAAAGGTGACTTAAATACATGTGTGGAGACTGTAACCTAAACCAGAAGTTTCTAGATGGCATGTATTTGGCACAGGGGTCCCCACACGTGGTGTGCACCGGAATCTCCCGAAAGATGTGCCTCCAGGAAAGAGGGTAGAGGTCCAGGTGAAGGTCCAGGAGTGAGAACACAGGCTTGAACAAATAGTACAAGACAAGCAGCAGACTAGCAGCTAAAGGCAATGAGGAGGCTTATTCGAAGTCAGGGAGGCCCATGCAGGGGAAGAGCGGCTGGCTCGGGGCAGAAAGTGTGCACTGTCCCTTCCCCCCAGAGCATGGCCTGCCCTGGCCCACGTGCGGCACTACAAGTCAGAACACAACAATTTCACATCAGTACAGAACAGCGGCGAAAAACCCCACGGACCCAGGGCAGCGGTCCAAGACTAAACACTATTTCAAAGGAAACACTCTGAAGAAACTTTTAGCTCTCTAATTCTCTAACGACTTATGCCCCAAAGAAAATGCCACAGTGATTTCAAGCTTTGAAAACAGTAGTTGAGGAGCATATAAAAGGATATTTTCCCCAGGTGAGACAGGAAAAGAACAGCCTCTCCTATAAAAGCCATACCTGCACACATTTAGTGACCATCAAGAGAAGCACCATTTTTTTTTTAGAGCAAACAAAAGTCCTTTTAAAATATTCAAACAGCACCGTTCTTTGAGTGGCTTTTTCATTTTTCACAGATATCACACCGTCAACCGCAAAGCCTCATGGACAGGCTGGCGTTCTACAATGAGAGTCATCTTGTTCTGCACCACTCGACAGCTCTCCAGATGGGCTAGGCGACTCCTCGCACAGCGCCCTGTGTGTAGCGACAAGCCAGGGCTGGAAGAAAAGTCCTTAACACCCAGGCTACTTCTCATTGTACCAGAAGAATGCTACCACCCAAGAAGAAAGGTTGATGGCGTCAACGGGAGAACTTGAGGGGAAAGCGACTGCATGGTATTCCCTCTCAAAGAAACTAAGTAAATTGCTTTAATCCATAGAATAAATCAGTCAAAATAATTCATGACTACTTTAAAGCCTTGAACCTTAAATCAGAAGTAGACTGCTTACAAACATCTCTAGTGGTTATAAGAGCACAGAAAATCCTTTCTCAATATATAATTAGCAGAAGCTAGAGTCACCAAAGTAAAGAACTACTTTAGATGTCTCTAAATATCCAAATTACATTTTGTATTGTGTTTTATAAACAAATAAGAAAAATCAATTACCACCTAGTGGACAAGAGAGCACCATAATCATTAAGCTGTCAAAATAAAAATGCTGTAAAAAGAAAATTCACTTTATTTAAAATAAAAAAGAATATGTAGTTACATGAAACTGTTAATTCAGAGGAAAATATATCGTTTTCCTTTTTCTTTTTTTAATCCTCACCTGAGGATATTTTTTCCACTGCTTTTTCAGAGAGAGTGGAAGGGGGAGAGAGAGAGAGATGGAGAGAGGAACACCGATGTGAGAGAGACACATTGACTGGTTGCCTCCTGACTGGGGCTGGGGATGGAGCCTGCAACCGAGGCATGTGCCCCTGGCCGAAATAGAACCCGGGGCCTGTCAGTCTGCAGGCTGATGTGCTAGCCACTGAGTTAGTCTGGCTAAGGCTCTTGTTTTTCTTAAATTCACCTTAGGGCCTCAATATAGGAAGCACATCAAATTTTTAACTAATGGGGTCAATGATAAGCTGATAGAAAGTGGTTTATAAGAAACTGACAGGGAAAAGGTAAGACATACTAATGACTGAAAAACAGAAATAACTGCCTAATTTTAAAATGTGCAAATTGTGAATGGTAATATACATTAAAAAATGATAGGGGTTATTATAGCGAAGGAAATTGGAATTTTGTAGCACATTTCCAAAAAAGATCAAAAGCTAACAAAGAATGTATTTATATTTACTGCATCAAAGCAATTAATTTAAAGAAAGAGAAAGGTGGAGGATTGATACATTGTGCAAGCAGGACTGACCAGAGCAATACTCTCATAGGCACTGCCACACTGTAATTAAACTTCTCATTGATTTCCTGGGATTCATTACATGGAATCATTTTACAACACCAGGATCTCATTAAAAGTGAATGTAATATATTCTTTCATTAATAACACTTGAAATTATATTTTATTTGGTAATCTCATATTCTGTCTCTTCACAAATAAACATAAAATCAATGCTGCCCACAAACCATGACCCATTCAACAGAGGCCCAGAGCACTGCTCTGTGGGTCCGAGGATGACACTGGAGGCCCAAGGAAGAGTAGCAGCCTTCCCAGCCCAGCGAAGCCTGACCCGTCCCACCTGCCCCTGCAAATATTTACTAGGAGCCTGTGATGGTGCTTGGTGATAAAGACAGTCCTGACTAT